AATTCTCAAGTTGTCGACGAATCGTTTTATGAAAATTTATCTCTTTACAGCATTCGAAATTTGTACACTACATGGTCTAGTGGTGGTTACTTGCAATTTGCATAAGGGAGTGAAATCGGCTTGTCTGGAAATGCCAAAGTTTCTAATGAGCCGTATGCTTTTCTTCTAGTGACTATTAACATCCTCATTATCTTCACTGGCCATAGTTCGGATTTTGAACCTTTTCATTTAATCTTCAAAAGCATCAAAATGTGAATGTATGTCCAACTTTTCCATTACATGCCCCATTGCGATACCGATGTGATAATTAGAATTATTTGAATTATTATGTGAACTAGGAATCTTTTCAATAGAGCAATTTAACCAAGAAGTACTATATGAACACAAACGAACGTATTGTATCTGGAATGCAAAATCAGGCAGACTTCGAGTACAAAAGAATCATTAGTTCATACAAATAACACACTATTGTAGTGCCCACTGTCCATTGGTACAGTTCTTCGAGATTTAATTTTTACGCCTCAACCTAGGGATCATCTGACTAATTGGTTTACGTCATGTCGTAGATCTGAATGTCCAGCTTCACTATTTACGAATCTTGACATTCAGATATCATTTGGAGACATGAGAGTCGACAACCTAAGCAATCTCTGTAATTCATTGACATAGCGAAGTAAAAGCAGAGGAGCATTTGTATAGCACACATTAAAGTTTTGTGGATCATTTGTTCTGCCCACACGGATCTAGAAAGTTTTGGCTCATAAGAACTGAACTCCTAACACGCCATCTTTCTTTTGATTTCTCAACTCAGTAAAAACATCCTTCCGCTCAGTCCAGTCCTTAATTGACCAATCTGGTCGGATTGGATTGACGAGCTCTGTGAGCGTTTTTCATTATGATTCCTATCACTCGCTGTTTTTGAGTGCTATATTTCAGACCATTTTTGGCTGGATTTCACCTTTAATCCACTTATTGAGTCAAGTTACGTTAGTTATTGTACTTTCAATGTCTCATCTGGTAGTAAACTTCTGATGATGAGTGCTACTAACTCCAGAACTTGTGCGTTCATTCTCCCATAATCATTTTGTTCTGAATCATCAGAATCCGAAAAACAGACTAATGATGGGTTGGGCTCATTTTAAGACCATGTCCACAGTCTTAGACTGTGTTGTCGTTTCCTGAACACCAACGTCAGAAAGCATCTTTTTATCTATCCCTTCAGTTTTGACTTCTGAACGGATTCATTCACTTATACTATCTAACTTTTCTTGAGTGAAAGTTATACATTATGTACATCAAAACGTTACATTTGCCTCAACACTTCTTGTGGATGGTGGCTTGCTTGTCTTGACAATGAAGAACTTATTACGACTTCGTGCAAAAATGGTCAGAATCAGGATTGTCTCCTCTTCCAATGTGTCGACAATGGAAGTCTCAGCCTTTCCATCTGGCGTAAGAGCTAAGCTAAAGGCAATTTGCTGTGTTTATCCTCCTTTGATGTCAGATATTTTGTGTGGGCAACTTCCTTTGGGAGCATCTACATTATAGTGGTTAACTAATGTACTGTCTATAAATTGGGGAAATTTAGAAGTGCCGTCATCAAAAACAACAACTGATTTCAAAACATTAGAAACCACAATCATACTAGCATAATTCCAGAACACTAGAGACCCCATCAGATATGACCTACAAAGCTCCTCGTCTCTTTAGGACCTAATCTTCCCACACGGTGATGTCAGTCAAGCAACTTTCCTCCCACCTTTAAGGAAAACTGACGATGCGGCCATCTTATTCAAGTCATTGCTAAGATGGCCTATCAACCAGTTGTGCCTGCCCGTCCTAACATATGAAAGGCAAACATGAAGGCGATCAATTCTACGGAATCGGATGTGAACTGAACTAGGGGCACGGGGGCATCCGTAGAACATGTACGGACTCATTTCAGGCAGTTATACAATCAAGGTACTCAATCATTTATATTCTGAACACTCACAAAGGAGATTAAGCACGGTCATCCCTGAATAGACCGGGATATTATAAGTGTACTAAGACGAAAGAAGAAATGTTGGAATATTGACATCATCATTAGCACATGAAGTATGATGGAACGCTACAAGTCTACTGTGAATCACGAGGTGGCTACTCTGAATTCTACCGACTGACCAGCTTCAGATATCCAAATACGACCCCAATACTGTTACCCAATCTCCAATATATCAGAACACGAGCCGTAGATGAAAAATTGTTTATGGGGTCAGAAGCAGAATAATGATTTACAAACAAATGCATATTTATACAGTTAGTATTACTATAAATATTGACTAACAGAAAAATGACACGTGAATAAATATTGACCAATAGGAAAATGACACGCGAAATAAATACTGATCATTAGGGAAACGACCAATAAGAAAATGACACCATTTAACGTTCAAGGGTAGCATAAGACTTAACTGGATAATTGTTTTTGGGATATTTTTCTGAATATCACAACAAAGTCAGAACAAAATTGGTTTATAATTGCACTCTGGGAAACTCAGCGAAATTATGATGAACTGTTAGCTCAATCTGTAATCATGCAGTTCAGGAGAAGTTTCTCGTACATAAGTCGCATCTTGGATCCTCAAAGTAATTACGGAAGCGAGTGGATCCTCAATGATAGAAAATGATCAGGACAAAGCAGAGACTATGGCAAAGCATTTTGGGATGGTTTTTACTCAGGATCCTCTTCTAGACGAGGAACTAGACCCAAATATATGGTCGAAAGATCGTCCGATCGTTATGGACTTCAGTCGAGGTCGTGTATTCAGGACCCTTAGTACTGTGGATACGGAGAAGTCAACAGGAGTGGGTGAGCCTCTTGTTTAAATCTTGGGGCAAATTACACAATATATTGCCGCCACATTGACTACAACATTCGATATGTTACTTATCCAAGGTGAAATACCTAAGGAATTGAAGGACGCAATCGTCACTTCAACACATAAAATAGGATCGGGACAACTCTCATCAAATGACAGACCTGTTGGTCTCACCAGTGTCGTAGTTAAAATACTGGGAAGAATAAAAAAACCACAATGACATTCGTGAAGACGAACAACTTGTTAAACAGCGAACATGGTCTCAGAAAAGGTTCATCTTGCACAACAAATCTCTTTATAGCTAGTAAACAATGGATGGAGACCCTAGACAATGGAAAGTTATTGGATAATATCTAAATAGACTTCAGTAAAGCATTTGATGCGGCACCAAAAATATACTACTCTTGAAACTAGAAAATCGAGTCATTTTCGGAACTCTCCTAAAATGACTCAGGGATTTCATGGTATGTCATAGACAGAAAATAAGGATAAAATTCAAATGCCAGTCTAAAAATTAGCTGGTGGCTATCATTGCGGCAAAGTGGTCTACTTTCACTTTGGGATTTCAGCGGTAAATAGGTGCCACATAGAGGAAGTTTTTGTACCCCTCGTCCGCCGTCACAAGGATCTTGGGGTGACAGTGAACCATAACTTTAGGACCACGGCACATTGCTAAGAAGTTGCAGTCTTCAAGACGAGCATTCATCAAGTTATATACTACTATGTTCACTACAGTATAGACAACCTTAGTAGGAATCAAATTCGTGAACTTTGTTCAGCTGTAAGGCCCTGTTTAAAAGGTGAATCGGACATCCTAGAAGAAGTATAATAGGTAGCCGATCGTGCAATCCCAGAACTCTGGGCTAGCCGCTACAAAGAGTGGCTTGTAAAGCTTGTAGTTTTGGTTACTATGTTAAGGAAAATTCTCTAATAAAGCATGGAATATATCGTCACGCAAATGAAATACACCCAAGAATCGGTATGCGTTTATTTGAGCTTATTCTAGCTTCCGGACAGGCCAATCAATTCATTCTTCATAAGTCACGCTTTGACTTAGTTAATTATTCACTCATTAACCCTTACTGTTTTTGTATGAACGTATGTGTGTGCACATAATTTTCTACTCATCACATGTCTGTAAGTTATTTTTGTGTGATTAAAAGTACCGATAAACGCTTGGTTAAATCTAGTTAGGCCACTTGCCTTCGCCATTTTGCTTCACCCTTCACTCTTTGTTTCGTCTCCTTGATTGTATTGTAGCGTGGCGTCGAGTCCCAATTGACTATGAACACCACTACAGAGAAACACGTGCCAAAATATCCACAAAATCCCCCGGAAGTGAAATATCAGAAGGCAGTTAATGGACCAAGTAGAGATATATTTGCTGGCGATCTCGTGACATCGAAAGAATACCGAGATCGTGCCAGGATACAATCTTGGTTACAGAGCGTAACCGAATTCGCGCGCAGTCACAATCAAAGTGTGAGAAATAATGGAAGCATAATATATTTGCGATTAGCACAGTTAAACAAAGAGCACGTTAAACAAGCACTGGTACAGTTGGTTATAATAATAATTGTTTTCATTAAACCAATAGTGATCTCGTGATAAAAGTGAGTCACTACAGTATGTTCAAATCAATAATAAGTGCATGAAATATACATATTCAAATTCCATTCTAGTATTTGGTTTATTCACTAACTCAATTTAAGTCGATGGTTATATACGAGGATTGTCAATATGTATACTTTAATAACACTGATTTGTACAATCAACCTGGAGTCACATCCCGGGTCACAAAATGCTAGATCTCTTTATTCTGTCATACCGCAGATTAAGAAGTGATCTGATTTTGATGTACAGAATACTAAGAGATGATTTTAGACCTAATATATCTTCTCTTTTCCATCCGCTAGATCGAGAAATATCAGAGCACATAGCAAGTGAGTAGAAAAACCAACAATGAACAAAATACCTATGGTATACAGATTTACACACTGAGCAATGGTGTCTGTACCTTCAATTGATTCATTCAAGAGTAGAATAGACTCTCACAGAATTATATCATAAAATGAATAACACATGCTGTAGGCCTTGTGTCTTTAATACTCAAGTCTGAAGGTTGCATTCCGATTGACTAATCTGAAGGCCACCCGTCGTTTGCCGAAGGTCGTCGATATGTAACAATATTAAAATCCTTTAACGTGACGTGTGTTTTCTTATTACAGGGCAACAAAAAGTAGATGTATTGGAAGGAGCTCTTCGTAAGCTGAACCTACAGAACGGTGGATAGAACTATTTTGTAGTAAAATTTCCCTTTTTGTACCCGAACCGCGTCTTTTAATTTTCAAAATATATCTGTTGTGCTAGTATGTCGCGTTCTTGCTCCAGAAGCAATTACTGGTCCTGATTGTTGTGTTGTTGGTTCAGATCCGTTCCGCTTCCAAGTAAACGCTAATAATACATGCTAGAGGTACAATATGTTTTTGTTGCCGTTTCGGTTCAGTGTTCGTATTTGTTTTGGAATATCGTTCTTTGACGTATCCTCAACACTACAATAATGTATCTACGAGTAAATGATAAGTCTGGTATGGTTTATATATAATCATGTACAACGCCTCAACCAATAAAAAAAACCGGGAAATAAAGGGAATATTCTGTTAGTAAATAAGGGTTAAACAATGGAGCAATGCACTAAGACGTCTCATTTTCATCGTATCGTTAGATTTGTTTTGAAGTTATGGCTTGATGGTGATTTTTAGTAAATACCATTTGTTTTAGATTCGTCGTTGGTGACATTGTCGCTAACTCAGCCTTTCCAGTGTCGACTCATCACTTATATCTACAAAATTATCTTGCCTAACTATTTAACTAAAACTTTGTAACCAATTTATGACCTCTACTCCGGCTAATATTTTAAAGCACCTACAAATCTCGATTGGGATATCTAGTGAAAAGCGAATTTCCTATTTTATTCGATTTAACGTGTGATAGTATGATGGTTTGTGATTTCCTGTCGTTGATGTTAACCAGTCAATGTCAGTTGACATGTGTACGTTGTATGTGTAAGGCTACGACAATGTCAGTTAATCATAAGCTTTAGTAAAAGGATATCTTATTTCCTGGTAAATTTGAGATTCATTACACGTATACAGTATTGTCATGTTTTAAAAATGAGTTGGTTGTGAAGAATTTCTTCACTGAATCACGTTTTTCTTGTGACCTAATCTGTGTGTTTAAATTAATATTGAGTTTACCGTAAAATGTCACATATCTGCATAAGATCAGTTCCAACTGTCTGCAGTCATTTATCAACGACCGATTATAGTGATGATTTGTAGAATGAGAAGGGATTTTGTCTCGATATTTGATATAGAATGGTAATCACAACATATGCCTGCATGATAGATGAAATTCTCATGCTATATTTGGTACTCAAATGATAAAGAACATAACAGTTCTCCATGTACATGTGTTCCTCCTTTGAGGAATAATGTAGTGATGAATATTAGAAAGTAATTCACTAAATGAAGATTCACAACACTTATTTCAACCGAATTGTTGGTTAGACCAGTAATTAATATAGTTTAGGTAGTCACCATTCGGTATCTTGTAACAAATCATTAGAAATTTTCCCGAACCTTATCAATCTAACTACAGGAATATACATACCCTAATAGTCTTAATTTCGAACTTTCTTTGTAGAACATGGTTGAGAATACTGAGGATTTGAAGCGATCACTAACGGATTCGGTTAATGATTTAGGGTACATTTTGTCTGATCGTTTACGACATGTAGATGGCGATTTCGATTTTGATATGTCTGTTACTGCAACATATGACCTCGACACTCGACTCATGCTGATGCTTGACAAGAGTATGATGCCTGAGTCTAATCTAGAAGATTCCATACCTGTTAAGAATGCCTGGGTGAAGTTTGCCGCAACGGCCTCCGCATACGTCTACAAAAATGTTGGTGAATCGGTTTCCAAACCTCTTCGAAAATGGCTGGCGAATGCTGCCAGTGCTGCGATTCTCGCTGGACTACTTGCAGAAGTGCCTGAGTCATGCGATTCAGATGAACGAACTACTTCTGATGGAGAGACATCTGTCGAAAATATCTTCACACCTGACAGAGTAGTGGAGAATCGTCAAGATGGTGCCTGGTACTATGGCCGTTGGACCGTTGACAATTTTGCCAACAGTTATGAAATGATGGATGTGATCGATGCTGAAATGACAGATGCATGTATTCGAGTGATGATTGCTGCTGTTGTTAATTATTTCCAGGAGAACAGATTTGCTCCGTGTGGGTTGTTGAGAGACAGTTATGCAAGTGCGATACTGAGAAGTGATCTAATGGATAGGTATGGGTTGACAGACGAAGGTGACAAAATTGAAGCGATGCGTATTACTGGTTATTGGGTCTCGAAACTGTATGTGTTCCACATGGCGACGAAGCATCGTGATTTAGAGCACCCAATCAGACCTATAAATAATGTTGGTTTGGTACGTCCTCTGAAACTAGATATCAAACAGTGTTTCGAGGACTTGACAGCTAGATTTATCCGTACACGAATCGCACATCAGATTGCCAGTCGAATGGTGCGATCTGTGTGTATAGTGTTTTTCGAAGATTTGAATGAATTGATTGAGTTGCGGAAGCTGTACCGTCAAATATCCAGTGATCCATTTTATTACCACACTGACTGTGAATATTTGACGAAATCATCTCGACCGTCAGTCAGTGACAAGATGAGTAGTATATTTGGTCGATTGGTCACCTATTTGAGTGTTTTTGAGCCGAATAGTGAACTGTTTGATTATCCGCAGTTGAAGATGAATGGTAGAACTCGAGAACAACACTATGTTGATTACAGTAAGAATTGGAAGAAGATACTGGAGACGATTTATACAGAGTTGTATATGCCGAGTGGAAGTCCTTTATTGGATGTACTTAGAAGTAGATGCAGAATCTCAGCAAAGATTCCACAAAATGAAAAACTTTTGAGAGAATGTTGGAATGAATATGGTGTCGATTCGAATATTTTGAAATATATTTTCCGATACTCACTTAATCGTTAGATATTATGTTCACTCATTGACATATCGAGAGTAAAACTTTGTTAATAATCGATTTCAATATTATTTTTTCATCAGTGATGTTGCTTTATGTTTTCACTGTGGATTTGTTAACATATAGGTAATTGCTGGAAGCACTTTAAATATAAGTGGACTAAGTTTCAAATAATTTTTCTAAAAATTATCGATCAGAGCTTCTGAAAACCTAATTATTGGTAAACTTATCGTTACTTTACATCTATCGTTACCTTTTATTGTTCGCGTCGGTTTATCCATACTGTTATTTAAGTGTAATTGTGCACAAAGTAAATATTCAATTGTTTTGCATGTATCAGTATTTCGTAAGACTCTCATAAATATTACACCACATTCAAGTTGCCTAAATCAACTGACTGAGTTACTGGGACAGTGTATGACATAGCAAACCAAATCAATCATGAGGTTTAAACAAATAGTTAATCACTAATGTGAAGTGGTTGATGGAATGATAAAAACAAGGCTAATCTAAGTTTAGTAGGGTGTATATTTTCAGTATCTTTTTTTATTAATTTGATTCTTTCCGAAGCTGATGTGTAAATCTAACTAACTTGATAAGCTTACAACCTCTTACTCAGTAATAGGTGTATTTGCCCGAATGCGTAACCATCTTAGCTGCCATTTGCATATACTGGTATAACCACAGAGAGGGAGAGAGTTAAGCATATTTCTCACAATGACAAGCTTATTTTCAGTAATAAATTCCAAAATGGACCTATTGAAATTGTAAATAGAAAGGTATGAAGTAGTTTTATAAATCATAAATACTCAGGTATCTCCGGCTCTATGCTGCCGATCGTCGGTTTATCGTTGAAAGTCATCGTCAGATAGTTTCTCGATAATAATAATCTACTGCGTGAATTCACGAAGTTTATTATTTGATAACTAACTACCGTTGCCTCTCGTGGAGCTTAGACCGAAGACCAGGATTCTCCAACCGACTCATCTAGGCACTATTTTCCAGTTGTTTTGAAATGCTGTTCATCTTTTTGATGACTGCCCCCAATTCCCTGTGTTATGTGATCTTTAGTCTCTCTTTTTCGTGCTTTTTGGGGACTTCTAGTTAAAACTTGTCTTGGGACTCAATCTCATCATTTCTGCGGTATGTATCCTGTGCACCTCGTGTTATTTCCTACTTCCATTTCTATTTGAATGTTGGCTTGTTCTCTGCCAGACTAGATTATTGCTGATGATGTCTGGTCGACAGAGGCGTAATAACTTGAGGAGACATAAATGTTTAGCTCATTGTATTCAGTATTGACGAGTAATATAAAGTGGTGATTCAACACAGCTGAATGTTTTCTCAAAAGTCTCGGGACCTTTAGATGATCCAAAGATATTGGGTTGGTCTATTTCATCTATCGAATCTCAGAGTGATGATAAATTTTCAGATTACTGAAGGATTTCTAACTTGATTCATTTTTTACTGAGTATGTTTCAAAATTACGTACACCTGATGACTGGAAATTGTTTCACACAATTAATTCCTATCAATGTTTGGTTCTGATGTAGAGTCCATAACACTTGTTGAGTGTGCTACTTGTGGCCGACATTTTCGGGAAGATATAATTGTAAGCGTGATTTAATTGGCAATTTCACGATTATAGCATTTTTGTTTAAATCTCTAATTCAAATTATAACATTTGCCGAAGTTTGTGATTGTGCACAATCTCAATCATTTAAATGATTGGGATTATATACGCACTTTAAGTGATCCAGTTTGTTTGCTCAAGGTGATAGTAATGAAAAGTGAACGACGAAATGCGTATCTTTACTAAGTTTGTATATATTCTTGCAACTTATCACGTCAATATAATATGTAGAAAAAGTCGGATACTAGAAGTATTGTTTATCTGTACTTTTCATGGATGTGATTCAGATCCTACAGGTCTACAGCTATGTATGTCTTATTCAAAAGACGTTTAAGTACTTTTGAGTTGACGTGTTTACTCAAATAAACGAGTGGTAACGCATAAATTCGGACAGACCAATTACTAAAGTTACAACTACACACCCAAACTTAAAAATAATTCTAAACAGTTTTGAGCAAGTAAGTAACTTCAGTTTCAAACTATGTGGTCAACTCCTAAAATACCCATCGAACCTTCTTAGGCAATGAGATTTCTTAAACAGGAGTGATTAACACGAAAACCATGTTGCCCCAATATCAGTCAATCTTGACTTTCTACAAGACTTGGCAACGTTATTTAACTTGTGTTTCTTACCCCTTCACCGAATCCGTTCAGAAATATGTGCAGCAAATGGATTAGTTTCTCGTTTTTATGCTTGAATATAATGACTACGTGCTACATTTTTCAGGCAAAACGTTCTAGACTCCATTTTCAATAACTAACTAGCCGTGTTTACTGGTAAGACTGATTTAAGATTAATATATACACATGCGGAGACAGTAGGACTCAAGCTATAAAACTATCAAAAGACTATGTGATATGCTATTCTACACTTCATTAATCAAGAGCTTCGAAAAGTAATTTTGCAAGCGCTTACTTAGAAACAGGTAGAATTCTGATCATCTTCAAATGAAAAATAGTTTTGAAGTGTCAGTGATTCACAAACTACTAGGAACCAGATTTATGACTACATTGTATTTGATTTACTTTTTTGACATTTTATACATGTTGCGCAACCCTACAAACCACTGTCGAATTCGTGATAGGCCAAACTAAACATAATTAGGGGTTAAGAAAAAATATCAAAGGTCATTTTACTTGTTTTCATGGTTTCATTATAAATGTTTATTCAAGCTTTGTGCGTTACTTAAGAAATGGAAGTCCAAGATATCAAAAATTTCACCTTGGTTTTGTTAGTGACAAATGGGTCTTTAGAAAGGTCACCAATTCGGAGATGTAAAGCACAGAATATTACACTACCACGTAGGAGCTTTTAACGTACGAACACTGTGCCAAATAGGACAGCAGGCTTCCTTAGCTAGGACTTTAGAATCTCGCGCCATCGATGTGTGCTGCGTCTCCGAAACGCGCATACAAGATCCGAGTAGCGTCATTCATTTGACCTCACCATGCCAAAATAAAGAACCGACTCGATTTACGTTTCGTGTATCTGGAAGCCCTGATTCTGCTTCCCGTGGCCTCGCCGGCGTAGGTATAGCATTGAGTCCTAGGGCAGAACTAGCTCTCTTAGAGTGGATCCCAGTAAACAGTCGCTTGTGCGCTGTGCGACTGAACGGAACAGTAAGAATCCGGAAAGATAGGGACACTCGTCGTTGCCTCTTCGTCGTCTCTGCCTATTCTCCCACTGACTGCAGCTCAGATGATGTAAAAGATGAGTTTTACAGAAAGCTTTCGGACCTTCTCCGAAAAGCTAAGCGCTCGGATGTAGTAATAGTGGCCGGTGACTTTAATGCTCAAGTAGGTAAACTAAGCGATAAGGAAAGACACCTAGGTGGATCCTATGGTGTCGTGGCTCAAAGAACAGATAATGGCGACCGTCTGTTGCAGCTATGCTCAGATAACCGCCTGTTCCTTGTAAATACTAACTTTAAGCATAAGGAAAAACATCTTTTAACATGGCGACCCCCTAATTCGTCCCAACGTTGGACCCAAATAGATCACATCGCTATCAGCCACCGATGGAGGGGCTCGATAGAAGACTGTCGCTCATTCTGGAGCACATGCTTAGATTCAGATCATGCTCTAGTACGAGCGCGTATTTGCTTGCGTCTTACTGGACGTAGGAAAGATCCTGCAAGGAAACCTCTTAGGGCCCTACTTAATGATAGTCAAGCTAAGAGTATATTTCAGGAACAACTAGGAAAACAGTTAGGCAGCCATGTATGTGATGCCCACCCCGAGGCAGCATGGAACGATATCCGAAAAGCTGTGGAAACAGCAGTGATATCTGCTAGTAAGGTAAACCGTAAAGTTAGGGAGCAACACTGGATCTCAGCAGCATCTATCGCACTGATAGATGCTCGAAAACTCATTCCACCTGGCTCTGAACATAATGAAGAGCGGATTCAGCTTAAGCGCAAGCTGACAAGAAGTCTACGCAATGATCGCGAACAGTGGTGGGTAGCGAAAGCAAGAGAGATGGAAAAGGCAGCGGCAATAGGTAATAGCAGACAATTGTTTAGACTCGTTAAGGAAACCGGAATTAGGAACCCGACCGTTAGCGAAACAATCTCAGAGAAAGATGGACATATTATTCATTCTCAATCCCGGAGATTGGATCGATGGGCAGAACACTTTAGGGATCAGTTCAACTGGCCTTCAGCCACACTTCGGTTTCCCACGATCTCCAGTCAACCTGAATGGCAAGTTAATGTAAGTCCTCCGTCCCTTTACGAAGTTGAAAAAGCCATAGGAAATCTGAAACGAGGGAGAGCAGCAGGCCCTGACAGGTTTACTCCTGAGATTTTTAAGGATGGTGGTCCAGTATTAGCAGCAAGATTAACCGAGGTCTTAGGTAGAATTTGGGAACTGGACGTAATCCCATCTGACTGGTCTCAATCACTGATTGTGCCAGTTTTTAAGAAAGGACAAAAGTCCTCTTGTGACAATCACAGAGGAATCAGTTTGACTAATATAGTGTCTAAAATATTAGCTTCAATAATACTTGGACGCCTAACCAAAGCTCGTGAAGAGCAGATTAGAGAAAACCAGGCCGATTTTCGACCTGGATGTGGTTGTATAGACCAGATATTCACACTACGTCAGGTTATAAAACACAGACACACGTTCAAACGCCCCACAATGGTAGTATTTCTCGACCTTAGGGCGGCATTCGACTCCGTTGATCGTGAGGTTCTATGGCAGTGTTTGTCACTGAAAGGAGTACCAAAGAAGTACATTAACCTTATAAAAGCTCTCTACTCGAACACAACTGGTAGAGTGAGAGCTTATGGCGAACTGTCATCAGAATTGATCACCTCAAGTGGTGTTCGTCAGGGCTGTCCACTCTCCCCATTCTTGTTCAACTTTGTCATTGACGTACTTTTAGAGATAACACTCTCCTCATCTAAATTTACAGGGGTTGAACTTCTACCAGGAGGTTCACTTGTTG